GAATCGAACTCGGGTCGGCCATGTTGGCTGCATGCAAGGCAAACACCCTACCGCTGTGCTATCGCTCCAGCCCTACTGCTGTGCTATCGCTCCAGCACAATATGAGGTGGCTAGAAAGTAAGCACTCAATAAATAGCGAAGTGTTTGTGTGGAGTATAAGTCATTAGAGTGGGGATGGAAAAATTATACAACATGAGACCCACATGTGCCAAACACAGTAACAAGTGTCACAATGAAGACATTACTGGGTCCGCTCGAGCAAAATCAATGAACAATGGAAAGACAGTGACAGTGATATAGTACTGTAGGAGAGAACGACAGTTTATCATACTTTAAATTTTCTTTTCATACAATTTTTATATGCAATATACCTTTTAGTTTCTCCCTCTTTCTCTGATGTGCTTTTCAGTCAAATCTTCACAGAGCTCCAAACTCTCTAGCTACTTCATGCTTTAGCCCATAGCGAGAGCTCGGTAGTAAGATAATTAATAATTACCAACATTCAGATTCTTGAATGTATTGTGATTAGACTCTGACAAGTCTACTTGATGGTCCACAACAGTTGGAATAGCTGGAAGACGGATTTATCCATCAACCTATTTCTCCTCAAACAGCTTTCTGAAGTCTTGGTGTATAAGCACAACATCCACATGATGGATAGACTTTCAGCTCTCCTGCTTGCAAACAATCTGCTCATTTCAGCTGAACTTTGACTTACCCATCATCAGAATTTTAAAATTCTGCTTTACCTAGGACCACTGTGGGTCTGATCTTTAAAACTACAAATTCAATAAGTATAGCCATTTGGTTTACATATGGAGAAATTATTTTCTTCTTGGATATTTACTTTAGAATTTTAGATGCCTGTTTACTAAAGTAACAAATGATCAATTTTGAAATATTAAAATTATACATGTATAAAATCACATCTATCAAATATCTCTCAATTTAGAATTGAGATGCTTTTAATATTAAAATATCCTATCACTTCACATGATTTCATAAGAAATGATATGCTTGCATTAATTTGTTTTTAACCAATATGTTCCTATGTTTTAAGAGAAAAATGAAAGAGAAGTGTATCCAAGTTTTTTCAAATCTTAAAGCAGTCCTTCAGTTATTCCTTTGTTTATTTTCTTTTTTTCTTTTTTTAAAAAAAAACCTTTAGAGGGTAAAGAGGATTGAACTGGAATCTACACACGAAAAACAAATGCTTTTTCAGTTATTCTTGTCCAAAAACAATTGTTTTTGTTTTTTGGGTCACACCCAGCTGTGCTCAGGACTTATTTCTGGCTCTGTGTTCAGGAATTATTACTGGAAGGATACAAGAGACCATGTGTAGTTTGGTATCAAACTTGGTTTGGCTGTGTGGAAGGCCTTACTCACTGTACTTTCTCTCTGTCCTTTTTATCAAAATTTTAAAACACTTAATACATATAACAAGAGGTAAAATTCTTCTGAAATGCTATCTATTACTATTGTGTGGAGAAAGAAACTGAACTAGCCAAAATTAAATGGGATTAATCTTAACAGTAACTAGATCTGATATAAGATATCAAATTTTATGTATCTGTTTATTTGCTTTATCTATTCATATATCATTCAAAAAGTCTTCATTAATAGCAAGGTATATAAAGATGAATGTCTATTCTACTGCTTTACAATGAATTAAAATTTAAACTTAGAAGAGTTGTACTAAATGAATATTGTACTAAATGAATGCATTCTTCACTTTGACTATCAAAAAGCATAAGTTTTTCTGTATTTCTTTTATCATTTACTAATATTAATTATAAATTTATTAATAATTACATTAATCATGAGGGAAATTAAGAAAACAAGTATTTCATAAATGAGTGAAGTTAAGCCTATTTCTTAAAACCACTTCCCCATGCTTCCTGTGTTTAAAATATCAATTAAGAAAGTTCATTTGGCAAAAAAAATTTATCTATCAACCTAAAATTAAATGTCATCTATAAAAATATTACTCTCTATTTCCATTTTAGAAATATTATATTTACTAATATAATTAATATGATATATTTCATATTTCTAAAGTATATTACTCTCTTGTCAAACTGATTTGACAATATATTAGTAATGCTTATTAGGAAACAGACATACATTGATATTAGGAATAGAATTATTTATAGGGTCTGTGTTGATAGAATAACTGTCCAGCATTTGGCTCTCACTTTTTATTTTTTTTCTTTAATTTTGTTGAGTCACTGTGAAATAGTTACAAGTTTTCGTGTTTGGGTTACAATCACTCAGTGATCAAACACCCATCCCTCCACCAGTGCCCATTTCCCACCACCAATATCCCTGGTGCATCCCACCTTTCTCACCCTCCCCCTGCCTCCATGGCAGACATTATTCTCCATAATCTCTCTCTACTTTTGGACATTATGGTTTGGCTCTCACTTTTTAGATTCAACTTGGAAATTTTTGTTTAGGATCTCTGTCATACTTTCCAAAGAAAACTATTACTATGTATAAATAAGGATATTCGATGTTGATCTACTTCAAATTTAACTGTACCTGCAGAATGAGTTAGATTTTGCTGATAAACAAATTCCTTCTTTGTAAAAACAACTGCTCAAGAAGATAACATTAATGCTAAGAGAAGAACAGGGAGGCTAATCAGAAACCCTACTGATGAGAGTAATTGATTACTGGTCAACAAAGGAATCCTTTCTAGATGGTAGACATAGAATCACCAGATGACATACATCTTGTGCAAAATAGTCATGTTTCTTTTCTTATAAAAATTATCAAAGATAATGGGGTCAGAGCGATAGTACGACAGGTAGGGCATTTGCCTTGCACACGGCCGACCCGGGTTTGATCCCCAGCATCCCATGTGATCTCCCCAGCACCGCCAGTAGTAATTCCTGAGTGTAGAGCCAAGAACAACTCCTGAGCATCACTGGTTTTGACCCAAAAAGAAAAAAAATTATCAATACACTGGCTAATGTTATCCTCTGATCTTATGGGGGGTTTTGTTTTTTATTTATTTATTTATTTATTTATTTTTATTAGTGAAACACCATGAGATACAGTTATAGACTTACAAATTTTTGTGCTTGGGTTTCAGTTATACAATGATCAAGTACCCATCCCTCCACCAGCGCCCATCCTCTGTTGATCTCTTTTTTCCCAATACCTTCTGCAAATAGCCCACATCACAGACTATGTTAGAATTCAACATCAAAGCATCACCTTTAATGGAATTTTAGAAACCCCCCCATTTCTCAAGTCATTCATTGTTTTTGTTTTTATTCATGTGTATCTTCCACCACTTATCTGTCAGCATGGTTTGTTGCCTCTTTTATTCAATTTTTTAGGGGAGCATCTCTTGAACATCCTCTGTTGGTAGTAATAACAGCTAAACTGGAAAAATTCAAAAACAACTCTTTTATCTTTGAAATTCTGGAGACATAGCAATTCCTCAAGTTAGTTTTGCTTTTAATGGAAATAACGAATGCTTTGCACTAGAAATAATATTGAATTTTAATTGGTTTCATGAGAAAGCTAGTATATAAGAATTTTTTAAAGCTAAGGTCAACAGTTTAGCATACCAAGAATTCATAGATGGTCTCATGACTAACTTATCAATACTCTTATCGGTTAAGTGATAAAGTCAGTTTTCAATTTGATAACATTGTTTATATTACCAAATTACAAATCTAGTCAATATTTGTCTCTGATGTTAGTCACTAGTGTTTTGACTTAAGTAGCCAATTCATGCTTTTTTTTCTATTACAGGATTTTACAATACATATTATAAATACAAATAATAGGCTTAAACTGACATCCATATAAGTCTATTCCTCCTCATTTCATTCTAGACTATGATCTTTTTTATTGTCTTGATTCAAGGATTTTATACCATGAGAAAAATCTAGGGAATGCATGGAAATTGTGCTTCAATTGTTTCCAATTGCATATCCATACATATCTACTATAACGACCTCCAAATTCTTGAGACCAGACAGGAACACATAAACATTTAAACCTCTTAAATCTTGATGAAAAACACATTTCCCTAAACTCTGGGAAACTGATAAATATACAATGATAGATCAGTAATTCTAGAGATCAGTTTTCAAATTTGTAAATTTTGGGTTGTTTTACCCAAGATAATAATACATATTTTCTAAACACATATATGACATTCAAGTATACTATGTAGGTATCATAAAACTATACAATTTTTTGATAACTATATTCTCTTTTTCTCTACCACCTAGCCAAAAACCTGCGATAAAAATGATTGATTTTTGATTTACTTCCTATAATGTTGTATCAAATTCTGTTAAAGATTTAGTTACTATAAAGAAATAAGTTATAAATTTAATTGAATTAAAATAGTTTGATTATTTCCAGGACTATTCTCATTTGCGTAGGCTTTCCATTTCTGATTATTACATCAATACAATAATTCTCTTACATATCTAGACATACGCAGCTATAAAATGATCCACATTTTAATATATTTTCCTTCACATTTTGTTAGAGTTTTCTTTTTTGTTTTGGGAGCCATACTCAACAGTTCTCAGACCTGACTCCTAGCACTGTACTCAGGGATCACTCCTTGCAGTGCACTCCTAATCCCAGGCAGTGTTCTGTGGATCAGATGGGATGTCAGAAATTAAGCCCAGGTTGGCTGTGAGCAAGACAAAAGAACCCTGCCCTCTTTAATATCTCTCTGCCTCCTTGTATTTCTTAATTTTATCAGTATCAATGGTTCTAGGTAAGACATATTACTGTTCTATAAAAATTTGAAGTCAGTTTATTTAATGCTTACTGGGCAACACTTGAATTTGTAAAATAAATCAGAGTCTACATCCTACATCCCTTCTTCTGTTTTCTCTTTCTTTATAGCTGAATTCTGGTTTTGATAAGTTTTGATAAGTTTTGAGGTGAATTTTATAAAAATTTAAGAAAATAGGTTTGGAAATATCACATCACATTCTGGTTGTCTCTGTAATAGTGAAATGAAGGAAAATCAGACAACGGTTACAGAGTTTATCCTACTGGGATTTGGTCTTGGTCCAAAGATTCAGATTTTCCTTTTTGGACTCTTCTCTCTGTTCTACATCATCACCCTACTGGGGAACGGGGTCATCCTGGGGCTCATCTCCCTGGACTCCAGACTGCACACCCCCATGTACTTCTTCCTGTCCCACCTGGCCATCGTGGACATCGCCTATGCCTGCAACACGGTACCCCAGATGCTGGTCAACCTTCTGGACCCAGCCAAGCCCATCTCCTTTGCCGGCTGCCTCACACAGACTTTTCTCTTTCTGGCTTTTGCTCTCACTGAGTGTCTCCTCCTGGTGGTGATGTCCTATGATCGGTACGTGGCCATCTGCCACCCACTCCGCTACTCCGTCATCATGAGCTGGAGACTCTGCATCTCCCTGGTGGTCGCCTCCTGGCTCTGCGGCTCCCTTCTAGCTCTGGTCCACGTGTCTCTCATCCTGAGGCTGCCCTTCTGTGGGCCTCATGAGATCAATCACTTCTTCTGTGAGATCCTGTCTGTCCTCAAGCTGGCCTGCGCTGACACCACACTCAACAAAATCGTCATCTTCGTTGCCTGTGTCTTCATCCTAGTGGGGCCCCTCAGCCTGGTGCTGGTGTCCTACGCGCGCATCCTCATGGCCATCCTCAGGATCCAGTCAGGGGAGGGCCGCAGGAAGGCCTTCTCCACCTGCTCCTCCCACCTCTGCGTGGTGGGGCTCTTCTTTGGTAGTGCCATAGTTATGTACATGGCCCCCAAATCCCGCCACCCAGAGGAGCAGCAGAAGATCCTCTTCCTGTTTTACAGTTTTTTCAACCCTATGTTGAACCCTCTGATCTACAGCCTGAGGAATGCAGAGGTTAAGGGCGCCCTGAGGCGAGTGCTGGGTAAGGGAAGTCACTCCCAGATGCAGTGAGATGTGAGTCACCACCCACCAATGCTTCCCTAGAGTACCAAATCCCACCTCATTTCATTGCTTTCTTATTCGCTCAGAATAAGTCATCCTAGAGACTTTGGAGAGCTCCTTTGATTCATTCATATTTGGATTCCACTACCTTGGCTATATTTTTTTAACTGTTCCATCACTTTGATTGGTCATATATGCATAATTCATTATATAACTCTTTCAAAATAATTAGATATTGCAAGAATCATTTATGATTCTGCTCTGATTGCACAAATACTTGACACAAGAAATCACGCTTACAAATACCCAAGCTTTCTTAAAGGAATATTTTAATAAGGAAAATAGGTCTTGCTACACCCTCCATCACATCGCTGTGGTACACCCCCCCACACACACCCATTCAGCCCAGCCTCTTGTCTTCTCTCTCCTCATGGTCTCCCCATCACACCCCACAAAGCCAACCACGATAGAGCTACAGCTGCTCCTTTTCAACTACAAGATTCGCACTGCTAAGATTTTAGACTTCTTGGGGCCAGAGAGATAGTACAGTGGGTAGGGCACTTGTCCTGCATGCAGCCAACCCAGGTTCGACCCCAGCATCCCATATGGTCCCTTGAACACTGTACCTTGGCTATTTTTAATGCTATCTGTAATGTTATTTTTTTTTCATGAAGCTGCTTATTTGGGAAAATTTGAGGGAAAATAATTATTTTATCTGCTAATATAAATCCCAAAAGAGGTTTTTTTTTTTAAAAAAAAAGACATTCTGCTTCTGAATTTATTAGGTGTGGTCACAAATGTTACAGTAGAAAGTGTTCCTCCAGGGTGCCATATCAATAGAAAAAAAATTTAAGATAGTGCTGCCACAAGCAGAATCCTAACTCATAGATATGTTTGTTTACCCATGAATTATACTTCTTCATAAAAATAGTGTAACCAACTTTCTATTTAGACTTGGAAGAAAGTTGATTTTATTGATTAAACTCTTTAATGCGCCTTACAGTTTTCTGTGGTAAGAAAGTGAGTGTGTGTACATATTCAGATGGCATTCCTGGAAATTACCCAACAAAATCAACTTTCCAATCTACCTTGGGTTCTGTTTTTTTTTTAAGATGGTGAGGGGTTTTCTGTTTTTTCTTTCTTTTTTTATTGAATGGGCTGGAGCGATAGCAGAACAGGTGGGGCATTTGCCTTGCATGCGGCTGACCCGGGTTCGATTCCTCCATCTCTCTCGGAGAGCCCAGCAAGCTACCAAGAGTATCCCGCCCACACAGCAGAGCCTGGCAAGCTCCCTATGGCATATTCAATATGCCAGAAACAGTAACCATCAGTCTCACAATGGAAACATTACTGCTGCCTGCTGAGCAAATTGATGAACAACGGAGGACAGTGCTACAGTGTTTTTATTGAATAACTGTGAGTTATACAGTTACAAAGTTGTTCATGGTTGGATTTCACTCATACTATTTTCCCTCCCTTCATCAGTGCACATTTCTCATTTCCCAACACCCATGTTCTCATTCTATCACCACTTCACTCCTCTCTCTCTCTCTCTCTCCCCCCTTCCATCCTCCCTCCCTCCTTTCTAGGCATTATGGTTCTCCATATAGGCAGTGAAGGGTTATCGTATGTATCACTATACCTCCTTTCAGCACTCAGTTCTTGTCAAGTGCAATCATTTCCAACTATCCTTGTCATAGTGGTCCCTACTCTGTCCTAATTGCTCTCCCCCCTCTCACTTGTGGCAAACTTTTAACTATGGACCAATCTTTCTGGCCCTCATTTCTACTTTGGGTATTGGTCTCATACCATGTTGTATTTTTTATTTTGTCCTGAAAATGAGTGTAATCATTCTATGTCTCTCCCTCTCCCCATGATTCATTTCACTCAGCATGAAACTCTCCATGTCCATCGATGTATAAGCAAATTTCATGACTTCCCTTTTCCTGGTGGCTGCATAGTATTCCACTGTATAGATGTACCATGGTTTCTTTAGCCAGTTGTTTGTTGTCAGGCACTTGGGTTGTTTTCATATTCTGGCAATTGTGAATAATGCTGAAACACACATAGAAGTGCAAATGGCTTTCCTGCCGTGTGTTTTTGGGTCCCTGGGGTATATTCCCAGGAGGGGTATTACTGGGTCACACGGAAACTCAATTTCTAGTTTTTTTTTTGATGAATGCCTATATTGTTTTCCAAAAAGACTTCTCCAATTGACATTCCCATTATCAGTGAATGAGAATCACATTTTCCCTGCATTTATGCCAGAACTGGTTGTTCTATTTGATGTGTACCTTGGATTTTTGATGAATACTTGTTTCTAAACTCTTCTTAACTTCTCAGGGTATGATCCCTCTGAATAAACACATGCACTTAATTTAGATGGTATCACAACCAAAATACCTATTGCTGGATATAGACACAAAGCACTAAGCAGAGAAAACTGTGGGGAAATAAAGGATCTTAATAACAGTTAACATCATTAAGTACTTGTCCTGGGCTTTCTATTACACATTTGTAGCTAATTTTATCATTATAACATGTTAATTTTTCATTATCTTATCTTATAAAAGAAATGAATAAAATGTTAAATATTATACTGATACCTCAGGAATCTAATTACCAAACCTCTACTTAACATGACAATATGGTTCATTATTAATGCCATAAAACTACTGCTAACTTATCCCAACCACAGTACATGTTATTTGGTTGTGAGTTTATTTTCAGTCTATGGCATGATGTGGCCAGGAGAATCAGACATGGCTTACATAAGGCTTCTTGTTCCACTTGGTGAGTTCTATGAGTATAATTGTAAAGAAAAATGATCAAGTTTATAAAGGTATACAGCACAGACATGGTTGAAATAGAACCTATTCTTTTTGAGATTAAATGTTTACTTTAAAATTAAGCATAGTGATAAAACCCAGTAGCAAAACATTTCCAATTTCATACACACACACACAGAGACACACACAGCTCACACATATACACACACTTAGTTATTAAGAGCTTGCTCTTGCAAGTCACTCTTCTAAATACCTTTTTAAAAAAACTTTTTGGCGGGGTCACACTCGGCGATGCACAGGAGTTACTCTTGGCTCTGCATTCAGGAATACTTCTGGTGGTACTCAGGGGACTATATGGGGTGATGGGAATTGAGCCCAGGTTGGCTGTGTGCAAAGCAAACGCCCTACCCGCTGTGCTATCTCTCCAGTCCCCTAAGTACCATTTTTAATGCTAAATAAAAACTATTTAGAGAAACTATTGAAACTATTATTAATTGGTATTAAGGTGAGAAATCAGAAACATGAAGAAATTAAGTAGCTTAAGTACTCTTCAGCCAGCCAGTAACTTGTCCAAGATCAAACTTGAGCAACTGAATTTCCAAACCTGTAACTACATAAAAATAAAAGAGCTCTTCAAGTACAAAAGTAGGAGATGGAGAAGTAAGAGGAAGAAGAGTAAGAGAAAGACTCTTTCAACCTGTAGTCAAGGATGGGATGGGCTACAGATACAAAAAGGACTACTTTGCTAAAGCATTGACAGTGGAGGAGTAAGGTGGAAGCGAGGATGAGGTTACCTGAAAGCACTCTGCCTCCAAAAACTGAGGGTGCAACCGAAAGGACAATACCCAGAAATCAATGGGAGAATGGGTTGACATTGCAATCTTAAACTGACAATTCACCAAGTGAAGAGAGTAGGAGTTACTGTTGTGTATCCAAATGGATATGGTGAATAATTCCAATATTTCCTAATACCATCATAAATGATTGGTTAGCTCTATGGCATACTGCACGTTGTATTACAAAAATTGGCGCGATGCTCTCCCACAGTGGGATAAAGGGTAAAGAGCTGGTCTCCAGGTTCGTCTCAAGGGAAGCAATCTCCCTCGATACACAGCAGAACAGCAGAAACACCTGTGACTCAGAGCAACTCAGGGAGTGTCCTATGTCAACCTGTAACTCTCAGAACTCTTCTAGGGTTAGCCCAGGTGTGCCAGAAGCCCAGAATGCTGCCCAGGATGAGGCATATTTGGAGCTAAAGATTAGGGGTCTACGGGGTCAGAGCGATAGTACAGTAGGTAGGGCATTTGCTTTGCACGTGGCCAACCTGAGTTCAATCTCCAGCATCCCATATGGTCTCGCAAGCACTGCCAGAAGTATTTCCTAAGTGTTGAGTCAGGAGTAACCCCTAGCATCGCAGGGTGTGACCCACAATGCAAAATAAATAAAGATTGAAAAAAAAGATTAGGGGTCTACCATTGCTCTCTCTCTCCCAGCACCCCTTATATCCTGCCCGGCTCTGCCTCCCTTCCATGAATTACACAGAAAGAGAACCAGTTAGGCGTCATCACAAAATTTGTTGTAAAGTAAAGGGCTTCAGATTTTGTTTTATAACCTCGAACAATTTTTTGATCTTGACCCTAGAATTCACAACACACTTTTCAATTATGCATCCTCTCCTCATGAGGAAAAGGACAAGAATCACTTCACCTCTTCATTCCAAAAGCTTAAAATAGAACCCATGCCAGCGGGCACACTTTGAAAATGTTAGGGTTATGCACACAGGAGATATTGTTTTATTAACATTAAGTCAAAAATTACTCCATTTCTCTTGGGGTTGCTAAACCACTCGAGTCTGGTACCAAGGTCACACTGGCACAGATGGGTTGTCCAACCTTTAGTCTGCGTGTCTTGGCTTGTTTCTGCAAATCCTCTGCAAGTTCAGGAGGCATCTCAACCTTGGAGGAAGCAGTCTTTGTCAGGGGAGCAAGGAGACACCCAGCGCTGCTCAGGGCTTACTCCTAACTCTGCACTTAGGGATTACCCCATGCGGAGTATGAGGGACCACATGGGATGCAGGAATAGAAACCAGTTGGCTGTGTGCAAGGCAAGTGCGCTACCCACTATGGCCTGCAGGGGACAGTCTTGCCAGGAGTTCCACTCACAATCCAGACACAGGAACCTCGTCAAGGGTCCCCGCAAGAAATTCTCTCTCTCCACCCA